AATCACACCAGAAAAAATATTCCTGTGACTATTATGCACTGTTACTAAATTTTAGTTCATGGCCACAAAGCTATTTCTTCCCCAAAATGACTCATTCTTCAGTGCTAACAGGAACTTGACTTGATCAGCAGCTACCTTCAAGTCTTTGTTTAACAGAAATCAATACATTGGTTATCAGACATCCACTGCTTCCCTAAAAAAGAAAAAAAAAAGGAAGGAAACAAAAATAAAACCAAACAAAAGACTTGACCTACCTCTTCATTTAATGACTGAAGCAGCTGTGGAGCTCCATCCATGTGTCCTGAGCCAACCACTCTCCAAACCCATGTCAGTCAGTGCAACCAGTCTCTTCACTTTAACACCCTTCACTCACCAATTCCAAACAGGATTTAAACCACCTTAAATAAACCTTGAATAAACCTTGAATAAAGACACCAAATTTAACCTTGACTTGCATCTGTACTTTTGTGAAAGCTCCTTGGCTCTCATGAACTGGGCTGGCCATGAAAGTAGCAGAGATCAGCAGTGCCAGAAGAATCCTAACTCAATAAGGAACATTAATAAAGTGAAATGAAAAATGTTATGTTTCATCACTCTGATTTTTTTCCCCTCTCAATATTTGGGGCAGAACATGGGGATGCAAATCAGAACAAAATGAAAAATGACAAAGCTTCCTTTAGGCATACAGAGCAACTGATAGGCTTCAAATTTAAGACTGATGAAATAAACGAGGAGCTGTTTCCCGTGGGCTGAAGCTCTCGGTTCCAAAGCCCTACAAATCCCTAGCTTTGCTCACAGCATTGCTATCTCAGAACCAAAGGCTTAAATAACTCCTCCTGTGCTGCTGTTCAGCATCTCAACTACCTGAGGGGAGTTTAGACACCTTTCCTTATATGTACACCACAGAGACTATATTGCATTTGTGTCCTTTGTGCCTTTTGTCACCTAAATGTTATTTAAAATTTTGGTCCCAGAGCCATTCTCCCCATCCATGTACTTATTAACATCACATCGGTGGGTAAAAAAACTCAAATATTTCATGGGGTTTTTGGTTCTCATAAGCCCAAACAGTTCTTTAAGCACATTTAAAAACTCAACTAAAAATCAGCATTTAACAACAACCCTGGATAAAAGGAGGAATCTAAATAACCAGCAGTGTCCCCACTGTAAAGCAACAGGTACTGGAAGACATTACGAGACATTGTAGCATCCCAAAAGTTTGAGCTGATATTAAATATTAAAGGCATTTCCCACATTAACATTAAAATAGTGGATCTTTAATTGTATGAAATGTGAAGTTTCAGTGACAAGAGGTTTTCAATAAATTATGGACAAAAAGGGAAACATTTTTTATTTTCTAAATAATTCAATATATTAAATTTTTAGTTCTAGAATTGGACAAACAAAATCTGGTAACAGCAAACCTTAGATGTCCATTCAAATTTTCTTATTCCTTTAGTGTTTGCTATTTGCAACAAGAACCCAAAAGCTTTTTCTTTTGCCTGAAGGAGGAACATCTCAGTTATTCACAAGGATCACAGCAATTTCTTGTTTTTTAGGTTTTATAAGTTCCCCAGAAATGTACAAAAAAATTGCAAACAATGAAGATTTTTGTCACTAAATCACTTTGTCTCTTTACAAAATTCTAGGCAAAGCACATGGGCTAAAAAAACCAGTTTCGTTTAGTAGCATTTGTCCTTGGAAAAGCCTCTTTGGGAAACTTTTTGTGAGCATGATATGAAAAAGCCACTGGAAGTTGGCTCACTGCTCTGGCTCCCTTCCATCTGAGCATCTAAGGGCTGGCTGGGGGGGATGTCTTTTTCATTCTGCTCTTACCAACATCACAGTCCATTTCTCGAGGCAATGAAACAAGATGCTTAATATAAGCCAACAGCCAACTACAACTTAGCCCTCAATAAAAGGCTATTTTTTGGCAGAAGGTTCACCTTCCTTTAAAATTACTATAACCATGAGTTAAAACAATTGCTTAAATTTCCTTTAAATGCTGCTTATAATGAGGATTAAATTGTTTCATACCTGTAGCAAAGCTATTTCTGTTCACTGAGGGTTTGAATCTTCCAAGACTGATGAGAGGCAGGCAAAGAGCAGACAGAAAAGCCAATTTTCTCTTAGATTTTAAGCAAGACCTTGTCCATCTCCTTCAGTAACTTGTCTCTATTTTTCCAACCAGTGGCAGGAAATCTTCAATTCTACACCTGCTGTCTATACTCTTGATCTCCACATGCCTCATCCTCACCACAACATATCTTGAGCATCCTTTTAGGATTGAAAAAAAAAATAATGCACTGCTTCCCTGAGTGCACAAGGCACTGCACTTTATCACTTCCAGCCTCACAAATGGCTTGGGCTATTACAGAACAGCCTGCCTGAAAAAACAAGATACAATATTCATGTACTTTGTTAGACAGATCTACTCTTTATGGTGATCAAAGGCAAGACAGACTTTCCTTTCATTAAGAAACTAGGGATGAACCAGCCTTAAAACAAAACACCTTCAGTGCAGCAGTTAAGTTTGAGCACAGAGGGCTAGAAGTCTGTATTCAGGACTGCCAGGAGCAGAAATTGTAGTTCAAACCTTGATCCAGGGACACTGGGCAAACTGGTAAGGAACTCTGACAGAGGAAGTTGTACATACATCCTTCCTGGAGATCCAAGGTTGGTGTGAAAGACTGCAAGCCTGAGATCAAGTTTTGACAACTTCCACATGCAAGCACAGCCCTGAATCACTATCACTTTATGTAGACCAATTCCCCTGACATTCCTTCCTTCCCACCCTGCTCACTTCCTCATTCCTCCTTAGCTTATCTTCTCCCACTACAGCCTGCACACTCCTTGACCCACAACACGAGAAGACTCCTTATGAGAGCAGCAATGTCTCAGCAGCTGAGTGTCCACGGGGGGTTACAGGAGAAGGAAACAGTGCAACAGTCCCACAGGTATTTCCTTCCAGAAGACTCTAAATTCTGACTAGATTGCAGTAGAAACCTGTGTCCCACCCCATCTCCCCTTCCAACACCTGCCATGAAGACCACAGCTGGTAGAAAGACAGGCTGTTGCCTGGGAGAGCAGCTATGCTTTCCCCACTGCTGCCATGGAACAGGGAGGGTGAGCAGACACTAATTCAGATTAAGATGGGGTGCTGAACCTATTGAATTATATTTACACCACGCCTGACTCCAGGAGAGCTGCTGCACATCCACACTCCCACCAATGCCCAGTCACCCCAAAACAGGGAACATCACAGCAGCAGAGAGAGCACCTGCTGTCAGCAACCTGGTCTAGTGGGGAGGTGTCCCTGCCCAGGGCAGAGGGTTGTGACTAGATGATCTGTAAGGTCCATTCCAACCCCTAAAATTCCATGATTCCAAGATCTCTCTCCAACACTGAACCGAAGTTCCCAGCTATTCCCACAAACATATATATTGATAAAAGGACATAGTCAGGAAATAAATCCTGTGACTTACTTAGCACTTTTTATTATTAGAATGATGATGTTCAATTTAAGGCTCAGTGACAAATCCTGTTTGGTGCATCACCTTATTAAAAACCAGTCACACGTGCAGAGAATGTTAAGTTATATTAAGCAAGCTGTTAACTTGACAAAATCCAGGCTGCTGCTTTCTGCCTCAGCTGCAGTAAGGGTGGCACATTGTCAAGGGGTGGGAAACACACCCTCTCCTTCCTTGCCAAAGCTCCAGATCCAGTTGAAACTCCAAACACAGTAAAAATCATTAAGGTATCTCAGTCATAAAGGCAACACCTCAGAACTCAGCCATCACATGCCACTCCAGACCCACGTACATGCATCAGTTTCTGGGATGTGACTGCCACCCAACTGCAGGAGAGAAATTGAAACAGTAATCCCAAATATTTCATTTATCCAGATCTGAAAGGCTTAGCTGGTGCTGAACACCAAGGCAGTTCTACAGCAAAAACAAAAAGATGCTCAAAGTGACAGATATTGATAGAGAATTTACAGCTTTCTGACTAGTAATCAAAAGGAGCACAGAGCTGTTTTGCACAGAAGACAGAGATCTGATAGCACTGCCAGGGCACCATGTGGCTCCTGCCAATGCAGTCACATGTGGCATTGGTGGTTTCAGCCATCAGCACAGAACTAGGAACAATGAAGGGATGGCAAAGTCAGATCTATAAACATCTTGGAAGGGAGTACATTAATATCATCATTTGAGATTTTCACTTCTGCTATGGGTGGGAAACTAGAAATCCAGTGTTATCTCAGTAATTAAAGCACCCCTCAAGGGGAACCCTTTGCATGGCATTTTAGGGAGTGAAAGCTTCAGCTGTACAGCAAGAGAATGTCAATACCACTTCCTGCTCTGTGCCAGGCTCCTTTGGAAGACACAGCAGATCCTGTAGGATTTCAGCATAACCAGTTACTCTAGGCATCAATAAAGAAAAGGAAATTTATCTTTTGTCTCTCTGCATCTGTGAGTGATTACACTCACACACATAGCTCATACAGCCTCGTTATCTGCAAACTCCAGGTAATTAATCCTTTGCTTTAAATTCATCCACCTATTCCAGGGAATAGATTTCAGCAAATAGACATACTCTGCTTGTTCACTGAAGGGTTTTTTAATGTGAAGGGAAATGTAAGCTTCTGATTAACTACATGTGACTGCTTAACTACATTAAAATCACTGTATTTCCAGCAGTTTCTAAGCTGTTCACACCATCCTAAAAAAGCTCCAGAGCTCAAGTCTGTAAACAATTCATCGAGTGCACCAGGTGTTGTGACATCTCTCAGCTGCAGCTGAAACTTGGCAGAATTCATCTCCTTTTGCCCAGCATCCCTTGTAGGAACCAAAATGAACAAACAACCTCACATCTTCAGGAGCAAAGCTTCTTCCACTGGTCTGACTTCAGACAGAAACGTGATGTTTGACACACAAGTCCCATCTACGCACCATGAAATAATGATGAAAAAAGTGTGATGCAGAGTCTTCTTAAACAGTCACCCCAAATACAAAGAAAGCATAACAGAAGCTTGATGCAAAATCCAGAAATAGTCCAGGGCAGTGCTTGGGCATCACTAAAAATTTAAGGACTACTGGGGATTATGTGGCCAGCCACAAACTGTCTTGCCAGAGGTCATGACAGTGCTCTCTGCTGCTGGGCTGAGTGCACAGCCTGCCATTCCCTGGCACAGGTCTGGTGATCAGTTAAAAACAACAGAGGACCAAGGAGGAGCACACACGGTCACGCGGCCGATCGCCGGCGGATCACAAAAACACCTCGCTGCAGCTGCCCCAGATAGATCCTCATCTTTGTGCTGTCACTGGTCTTCCTCACCCAGATCTGCAGGAAAGAAAGGACAAAAAGAACAGGGCAGGGAGATAAATTGGGGAGAAAAAGGGAGAACTCACAGTAAGCAATAAGCAGAGCAATAAGCTGAGGTGTTATTGTCAGAGCTGAACACCTCTGTTACTCAGGGGCACAGATCATTTAGGTTAATCTCTTCTCCCTCCTCACATTAGGCATTTGCAACCTGAGTAGAAAATGAAATAAAGTATCTAACTTTACCTCCTTAACTTGCTGCTCAAAACAAACCTCAAGAAAAATGACTCTTTGCAAGCACCATCAGGAAAGCAGGTTCCCTTCTGCTACAGTTCACAGCAGAACTCTGGCATTAAGCTTTACCTAATCAAGAATAAGCCTCTCTATATCCACAGATCATAAAATTATCTATCCTGGGATTTGCCCAGACAAGTAACTATTAGTCAAATGAAAAGCTTATTCTGATTTTGCTCTGTGAAGCATTTCTCCCAATGTAGTACAGAAATTCCATCTGAAGATGAAAGAGCCTCTCTCAAGCACCTGCATGGGAGAACTCACACAACGAGCAGACACACAGCACGTTCCAGAGGACAATCTGCTGCCATGGAGGCAGCAGCCACTCCAGAGAATTTCTGAAATCACTTTCAAGACATGTAGAACCAAAACCTTCACTTTAAAAATCAAGTCTGAGCAAACTCCTCTGCATTTCGTCATTCTAAGGCATTTAAACATGGTTAAATAAATGCATAAAGAGTTAACCAGCTCTTGGTACTGGAGTATTTGAGGACAGAAGTCCAGTATTTCCTAATGCAAAGGATTATAAAGTTGTGCTGGTTTGTGTTTTATGCTAAACTATTTTTTAGGTATATTAGCTACAGGCTAATAGGAGATTGATTTAACTCTATTCTTTTAATTACAAATTGACTATATTAACTGGAGCCCTCAACAATATTTGCCTGTGCTTGTACTTCAGTTATTTCCCCAGAGAAATTAAAACCTACATTCACTGACACTAATCTCTCTAAATTTCCAAGAACTGGTATGTTTTCCTAGCTAAAAAGAAGTTCAAGATCTGTAAACTCTGAGCAACTGTACGAAACAGTAAATGTACAGTTTTACATTCTATCACAGTATGATGAATGGTATATTAGTTTTGCTAAATTTAAATTCCATTTGGAAGAACATTAAAATTCAGTTTTAAGTGACCACAACAGAGAAATTATTTATTAACATTAAAACGGGTCACAGTGTTCAGAAAAATAAATGCATTGAGACATATTCTGAACCTAGAGCTGCTGTTTCAGACACACAATATATTTTGCAATCAGAGGAGAACATCTAATAATTCTGAAGAACTAAAGGAGATGGTAAATAAGGACAACCAAATCCAGCTCTGAATTTCTTTTATTCCTAGACTTTCAAAGGAAGATAAGTGTCTTCCTTTTTTATCAATTACAACAATCTGAGATTGCTCAATAAACTCATGGGAATAAAAATAAACAAACTTTCCTGCACATACTGAAGAGGTATTTTTGTCAAAAGGCACTAGCCCAGGTTGCTCCAACCTGGCCTGGAACACTTCCAGGGATGGAGCAGCCACAGCTTCTCTGGGCAACCTGTGCTAGTGCCTCATCAACCTCACAGGGAAGAATTAACAGATTGCATTTCCCTCAGGGTTTCAGGTAAGATCCTCTGAAAGACTGAGTTTTAATGTTATAAATTAACAGTAATAACTTGAATCAAATTAGCAGCACTACATTTTTAACACATCCATTAGCTCACCAGCACTGCTTTATCTAAACAACCAACTGCTGAGAGCAGCAACTGGTACTGCAAAGGAACAGTTGTGATACAAACATATCCCATATGCAACTCATTCTGGAGAAAATAAAGTATTTTCCCTTAGCTGCCACAACAAATTAAAGTTCCTTTATTGGCTGATTGAATAGAAGTGCACTCAAGTCTATTATTTCTTTCCCTGAAGTGTCTGGAATCTGCAAGCAAAGAATAAACTGTTCCCTTCGCCCAACTGCTGTGCTGCTCGAGCACTGAGCTGCTTCTGCAGCCAGACTCACATCAATCTTGGGCACACAGCTCTCTTCACCTGCTGCTCTAAGCCTTAATCATTAGCCACAAGGAAACTGGCTCAGACAAATGACTTGTCTGCCCCATCTTCCAAGGAGGTGATGGATGCTGCCAGAAAACTCAGTTAGCAGGAAGAATCTTCTCCCCTTATAACAACTAAATTTGGAGACAAAAATTTTTCTTGTTCTGTTCTGGATTCCCAATGGGACTTTTTAAATAAATTTTGCACTAATAACAACTGTCTGTTCTTGAAATAATGGAAGTTATGAATGCAGCGCCAATGAGATGCAACAGGTCAGTTTCTTTAGGAATGGAGCAAGTCTCTTCCCATCTCATGAAGAGATTTCTCAACTCAGTTTTATCTTAGATTCAGCCTCTCTACACAGCAGACAAATATGTGTCTTTTCTGAAAGTACCTTAGTCCTCACTAGACAGCTGTCTGCCTGCCTCTGCTGATCCACAGTTTCCCCCCCTCTCCTGGAAAACAAATCAGCCCAATACCTCATTGGCACCCACAGAACTGATCACACAGCTGATCTTCGTGTTCTCTTTAGACTCCAGGTAAATAGCCTGACTCTTGTGGTACCTGCAAAAAGGAGAAAAGAAAATACATTAAACCATTAGCACTCCAAAGACTGAGAAAGAAACAGTGATCAGATGGATAAAGCTGGGAGTCTACATGTATTTGGACAGAGTAAATCTGAAGTCTTTCTTTCCACATCACTTTCTCCATCTTTACAGCACAGCAGGTGCTCTGATTCTACACACACACACACTTTGCATTTAATGACACCTGAAAATGCACAAAGCTCTCAATTCACATTCAATTCCATACACAGGTTATTGAAAACAGATTTCACATCTACAGGAGGGAGGGGCAGAGCACCAGCCACAACCCAGGAGACACTGACTGACAACCACCCTGTGCTTCAATGTTAATCCAAGTAGCCTTTCACATTTCAGACACGGGATAGATTTCAGAAGGCAACTCCACATTTTGCCTGATAAAATATGACAGAGCAAATCACAGATACTCCAAAGTTATTCACATTCCCCAACACAAAATTACCAGTGCACCACCAGCACAAGTGAATTGTCCTCAATCAGTGCACTCTCTGTATTGTAACAACAGCTCAGACTTCTGATGCTGTCTGTGAAAATACCCACAAATGGTGAATGATGGGTAACTGTTAGGAGCTGTAGATACCTGCCATAAGGAGGCTGTGACTAAGCATATCCATTTTCCCCCTTTCAGATCATATTTTATGCTGTGTGTTTTTCTTCATGTGTTGTGTATAATACAAAGACTTGAAATTCATAATTCTCAATAGCCTGATTCCATGGTTTTGCCCCTTCACAGCCCACATGTCTGTAGTGCTGCATTGTGCCAGTCAAAACCCCCAGTTTGTTTATTCTGCCTAGCAGAGTTCTGTAGGCAGAGTGAATTACACTGAAACAGGTTATTTGTAAGTAAATAATCCTAATCTAGAGAGGACCAAAATACTTTAGTTATAAAAGCATAACTATATTTCCACCTTCAATCATGATGTGCTTCATATTGAAACAGGCAGCCCAAGCTGCAGAATCACTACACAGATTCCCTCAGTCCCTGCAGTCTGGCTGCCACTTGCAAAATGCATGGATTTATTTTATCTTTGCAGTTGTTTCCACAATAGTCATACTGTAAATATGGAAGTCTTCCAATGGTTTATTCCAGTGTCTCTTCCTACTGGCTCATGTACTCAAAATTTTCACACCATCTGCAGTAACTAGAACAGTGTGAGCTTTCAGCAGTCCCAACATTCTCATTACCCACGGGCTGAGCAAGGTAACCAAAAAAACCCAACCATGTCTTGCAACCTTTAGCCACCTGTGTCCAACCATTGTTCTTTCTCCTTCATTTGAACAGAAAGGATGTCAGTGGGTTCCAGGGCAATGCAACAGCAACAATGATCTGAGCCAAAAATCTCAGCTTAGTGAGTCCAGATATTATTAAATGATATAAAGGAACTGAATAAGCTACTACAAACCCCAGACCTCAGTAAGATAAGACAAAAATCTCAGTCCAGCAGCATCCTACCATGCCATGCTGTGAGCGCTTAGGCAAGGAGAATTGATGATCTTGATACAATCAGTATGAGTGCAGAAGATACCAGTGCAAACGACAACTCTCAAGTGTTATCTGTGCCTGCACAGATAATGAAATATTTTTCCCCACTCAAAGATGTTTCTTTCAATTTTTGATTACCAGTGAATTCCAAAGCTAATGACACACATGACCCAGGTTTCAGCCCTTGGATTTCACAGCATGAGTTACCATCCATCAGGAAATTTATGTTAATTGTGCACAAAGAAGGCAAAGTAACAAGGCAGCTCAGCACTTCCTCCTTCAAGAGTTGTCTGAGCTGTCTCACACTCCATGCATGCGCAGACAGGTCAGCTGAAAGACTGATGCATCAGTTAGCTGTTCATGTCTCATCCTTTTGCCAAGTTTCTTTATCTACAGAGGGGCAGAACTGAGGAAAATACTTCAGATATTGGCTTTCCAGAGAGGTAAAGTGCCAAACAGCTCTTGTGGTAGGTAAAACACACGACAGTGCTGACAAGTGAGGCAAGCAGAATTCCACTTCCTGCTATAAAATATTGTGCTAAGACCAAAATTTTCAGCTGCAACTCTATCCCTCTGCATAACTGTATGCAGCAAAGCTAAAAGCTAAAGATGGTTGTTTTACAGTGAACTGTATCTTAGGATTTGATGGGGGAGCACAGAGCAAACTGACTGAGGATAAAAAGGTGAATCTAATCATCTGAAACTCTCCACTTTGGAGACATGTGTGTGAAATGTCTCTGCAAGACCTTAGGGTGTCCATTACTAGCCTCAGATGTTCCCTGTTCTGAGAGAACAGTCATGCACCGCTGCATCAGGAAACAGAGAAAGTCACTCCTGTGCTGTCAGGTTTAGCATTTCTGTGCATGCCAGAAAATGCACCTTAGAAAGAATTACCCTACCACTGTAGAGTTACTTCACTATTTTAAAACAACAGCTACTTGGAAAAAGTACTATTACTATCAATAAAAAAAAAATCTAAGAAGGATTTCTGACATTACTCCAGATTCCATAGTTTTTGTTTTATTACACATTAACACCTTTCAGTACTCCACATGCTAAAAATTCTGGAGAAGAGTTGATTCATCCAAATACATCCCAGGGTGTGTCATTTTAAACACACACACAAAAAAATAATCTGGAAGCAAAAAAAGAACTTCCTGAACATGTGAATTAAGTAGCCTGCTCATGACTGCTTTATGCTTCACAGATACTGAAGCTCCAGGCAGCAGCTTTTATC